GCACACTCACCTCCGACGGACAGAGGACAGACAGACTCAGACTCAGCAACAAGACTAGCGGCGTAGTCTAGACGACAGGCGGCAGCAAAGTCAACAAGCTCAGCAACTAAGGCAGACGCAGCAGTGGACTCAAACGAAGGGTCAGTAACAGCAGTAGCTAGAAGACGTGTGACAGTAGGACTGGAAGCACGAGCAAGGTCTGACGGCGGGTCAGGGACGTCAGGAAGAGAGGACGCAGGAGGAGACGGCAGAGGGACACGCAGTGGAACAGAGGAAGGACGAAGTGTCATCTGGTGCGTGCCGGGGACAGGAGGAGGACGCTGACGCGGAACAGTGCGAACAGCGCGAACAGCGATGCAGGACGAGACTCAGGCTCACGACGCTCCGCAAGACCTCCGGTCGGCCCAGTGTAAGGAGAAGGACCAGGTAGTGGGGAGGCTGGCTGTAACTGCGAATGCGACTGGTCAGGCGGTGGACACAGTAAGGGAGGAGAAGGACCAGTAGAAAGCGGGAGACCAAGAACCTGCTGAAGGAGTGGAACGAAGTACGGCCGCGGCCGCGCAGCGCCTCCAGAACCAGCACCGACAACACCAGTACCCCCAGCTCCAGGGTCTCCAGCTCCAACGCCTGCAGTACCACCAGCTCCAGCACCTCCAGCAGCTCCAGCTCCAGCAGCACCTCCAGCTCCGGCAGCTCCAGTGCCTCCTGCTCCAACTCCTGCAGCACCACTAGCTCCAGCAGCTCTAGTACCTCCAGTACGAGCACCTCCGGGACCAGCGGCTCCAGCACCTCCAGCAGCTCCAGCACCAGCAGTACCTCCAGCTCAAGTAGCAGCTCCAGCAGCTCCAGCTCCAGCAGCACCTCCAGCTCCAGCAGCTCCAGTACCTCCAGTACGAGCACCTCCGGGACCAGCGGCTCCAGCACCTCCAGTAGCTCCAGCTCCAGCAGTACCTCCAGCTCCAGCAGCTCCAGTACCTCCAGCTCCTGGGCCTCCAGCGGTAGGCCCCCCTGCTCCAGCAGCACGGCTCCAGCGCCGAGCAAACCACTCGCGCAGCTGCGGTGGAGAGAGTGGCTCCCGCCGTGACAAGACACCAGTAGGACCTCCAGAAGACAAAGTACCTCCAGGCCCAGCATGCTCAGGCTCAGCACCCCTAGGCTCAGCACCCCCAGACTCAGCACCCCCAGGCTCAGCACCCCCAGGCTCAGCACCCCCAGGCTCCGCACGCTCAGGCTCAGCACCCCCAGGCTCCGCACCCTCAGACTCAGCAACCCCAGGCTCAGCATCCCCAGGCTCCGCACGCTCAGGCTCAGCACCTCCAGGCTCCGCACGCTCAGGCTCAGCACCCCCAGGCCCCGCACCCGCAGGCTCAGCACCCCTAGTAGCACCAGAGTCGATAGCTACCTCGACAGGCTCGACCGGGTCTACCTGGGACACACCTGAGGGAGCAGGACCCTGAGGGGGGAGGGGGTCTACCGGAGGAGGACCTGGTGCGAGGAAGAGCGGCGGGGGGGGAAGAGGGGCAGTGCGGTAGGGGAAGAGACGGTAAAAGGGAACCGACTCGTCAAACGTGACGTCCAGGGAGGGCAGGACACGGCGCGAGGTGGGGTGGTAAAACTGCCAGCCAGGCGCGTCAGGGACAAAGCCAAGGAAGACGCAGGGAATGGCGCGGGCGGAGAGCTTGTCCGCGGACGTATCGCGGACAAAGGCACGAGAGCCCCGGACCCGGAACACCGACGCATCGCCAACCTCACCCGTCCAACAAAGTGTCGGCGAGGTCTCCGGCAAGGAGACACGGGGCCAGAGGTTGAGCTGATGCGCAGCGTATCGGACCGCAAACGGCCACAGAAAATGGGGGGCAGCCGCATGGATCATGGAGGTACGAGCGACCTCCATGACTAAGCCAATGCGGTGCTCAGCAATCCCATTCTGTTGCGGAGAGGCCGGAAGCGTGAACGTCTGGTGAATGCCCTCCCCACGACAAAAGTCCCGCAGAAGGTCGGAGGCAAACTCACCACCTCTGTCAGAGTGCAGACGCAGGACGAGAAGGTCCGTCTCGAACCGCTCGCGGAGCTGGAGACGAACAGCGCGCATCCAAGGGATCAAAACATCAGAGACCTCACCCTTGGTGCGCAAGGGGAAGACCGTGGTGTAACGCGTGTAGTCGTCAACAACCAGCAGATTACCGCTCGCGGCCCTGTCCACGGACGTGGGCTGGGCCCCACACGTCCATGTGGAGAGTCTGCAGGGGAGCAGTCGTCGGGGGAAACTCAGAGCAGTGAGGAGCGGCGCGCTGCCGCCCCTCGACACAGGGAAGACAGGGAGGAGTAGGCGAGGGTGGGAGGGGAGGGAGAGACCTGGGAAGACCAGAGACAAGGAGACGGGAGTGCATGCCACGGAGGCGTGTCACGGAGGGGTGACCAAGGCGGTGGTGCCAAAGGAGCGTCTGGTGCGACAGAGCGTGACACGAGTAGGGGGCCGACAGCTGACCTGACGCAGACGCAAACGCAGCTACCTGAGGGGGCGCAGTAGTCAGTGTGTACAGACTCGACCCAAGCCGACGGGTGAACGTGGCCAGGTGCCTCCCAGTCCGGGAGCACGTACAGATCGCCACACGCTGTCCTCTAGGGGTGAAGGTATCAACCGACTGATCCTGAAGGACGGCGGTGCTCACCAAGTTCGTAGAGAACGAGGGGAGGTGGAGACCTGACAGTGAGCCAGACGGAACCGCCGGACAAGGCAGAACAGTGGAGGAACGTGCACGGACTGGGCCCCCAGAGGGGTCAGCCAGAGAGACAGCAACAGGTGCAGAGAGCGGTGTGACCGTAGTACTGTCGCGAAAGAAACAAGCGGAAGCACCTGAGTCAAGTGTGAAGGTGTGCAGGGCCGCAGCAGACTCAGTACCAGAGAGAGCAGACTCACCAGCACCTAGAGCAGCAGACTCACTAGCACCTAGAGAAACAGCCTCTATACCTGGGTCTGGCGGCATACACAGGTAACAGTCACCCTCAGCACTAACTGTCAATGCATTCATGGCAGAAAGGATAGCATCATAATCAAGAGCAAACATGTCTACACCCTGCTGAAGCAGGTCTGCCCAGCGGGGGAGCTCAGCCGCGTCGGGAAACTCTGTGCGGAAGGCGTCGGTAAGACGAGAGAAGCAGCGGTGCTGGGTGTGGAACTTGCCGCATGTCTAACCAGTGCGGTCACCTGTGCGAATGACATACGGGCAGCGACCACTACCCCCAGCCGCCCCATGCTGAGCAAACCACTCACGTAGCTCCTGGGGCGAAAGCTGATACTGCTGCTGCTGCCTCTGACCACCGCCAAGGCCTCCCCTCTGACTGGTACAACCCCGGCCGCCACCACTGCCACCGCCTCCACTCCCACTGCCGCCACCACTGCCGCCCCCAGTACCCCCACTGCTGCCACCGCCGCCGCCACCTACACCTCCACCCCCACCACCACTCCTTCCGCCACCGCCGCCCCCTCCACCGCCTCCACCGCCCCCACCACCGCCTCCACCTCTGCCGCCCCCACCGCCCCTGCCTCCTCTGCCCTTGCCGTTGCGGCGCCTCCCACTAGGGGCAGACGCAGCTCCTACCTCCTCAGCATGAAGGTAGTCAATAGCTGCAGCAGAGGCGACTGAGGGGAGAAGGGGGGAGGGCGAACACCCCTCAAAGAAGGGAGTGCGAGGAGTGTCACGAGAAGCGCCTACAGCGACTATGCTAGTCTCAGCTGCAAGGAGGTGCTTCTCGAGCAAGTCGACAGTGAGGGTGGTGGGGTCAAGGGCGAGAAGGAGGTCCCTGACAGCGCTAAGAGAGTCAGGGAGGCGGTTGACTATGAAGTAGAGAGTGATGTACATGGGAGGAGGGTTCTTGGTGAGAAACCCGGCGGGAAGCGCAGCACGGTAGCGAGTGTCACTAGTGCGAAGGTGAGTGACTAGGTCGACTACTGTGGCAAAGGCGGACAACTCTGGGAACAGGTAGGGCAGGAGAAGGCGGCCTAGAGCAGCAGTGGCCGGCGAGGAGTAACGAGCAACTACAGCGTCGTACAGTGCTTTCGCAGTCTTGTGCTGTCCGGAGTGCTAGGTGTTCGGTGTGCTTCATCTGGACGGGCATGCTCTGTTTTTGCTTGTTAGCTCTGGTTTCCTGGTTACTTCCATGTTTAGTCTCGCTAGTTACCACCACTTGCCATGCTTGTACCTTTGTGATCCATATCAATACATGACTGCTTGAGAGAGAGAGAGAGAGAGAGAGAGAGAGAGAGAGAGAGAGAGAGAGAGAGAGAGAGAGAGAATTAGCCTCTCCCCTTCTGCCTTTGCACTCACCCTTTTGCCCTCTCCCATGAGTACTTAAAGGCTCTCGTGGCTTCTTCATCCTTAGTATTCAGTTCATTCTGAAAATTTTTCGTTCGATCGTTCGAGAGAGCGAGAGAGAGGATTAGCCTCTCCCCTTCTGCCTTTGCACTCACCCTTCTGCCCTCTCCCATGAGTACTTAAAGGCTCTCGTGGCTTCTTCATCCTTAGTATTCAGTTCATTCTGAAAAATTTTCGCGCTTCGCGCCGGTGCTTGCGTGTGCGGCCTTCGGCCGCGCGCTCGGGATGACAAGGGGGAACAACAAGCAGTAGTTTAGGCATCAGACACAAGCAAGGCAAGCATCGACACCTAGCAACACGATAATGGAACGGGTCTACACGCGCAAGGGGGGAGCACCTACATGCGGTCCGCGTCTACCGCAGCGAGCATTCCGCTCGTGTTCAACCACAACTGGCGGACCACTAACACGGTGGCGCCTACAACGTGAACGGGAGTACCAGGACCTGCTACAAGCGTCCTCAGAGCCAGGGCCGAGTCAGCCAGCTGGCTGGCCGCGGCTGCTCCCGGCGAGGGCTCTACCTGCAGTGGCGTTACGAGCGCGAATAGCGCTGACGCCGCCGCATGACAATCAGCTCGCGGTTTCTGAGAGAACCTGCTCGGAGGGCTCACCGGCATGGAGTCATATGACTCCTGGAGAATCTGCTCAAGGCTCTGCAGGGACGCCGCCAGCGACCATAGGCGGGCCAGGGTCGCCGTGGGAATTCTCTTCATCGGCGGAAGCAACGCGGACGAGCGGGCACGGTGAGACGACACGGCGAGATCACGCGGAGCAGGAAGAGGACGCGGCGGTTCATACTGAGCCCACGGCAGCCCGCCACCAGCGCCTACGAAGCCCATTCCCGCAGGCAGCGGCCGATCTGAGCGCGCCGGGGATCCGAATGGATTGTGAGGCAGGAGCGCGGAGAGAGGGACGACGGGAGCAGCGCGAGGAGCTGGGGGTGACGCCGACCCCGCACGTGAGCAAAGAAGCTCCTTCTCCACGTCATCAAGCCTATCCAGAAGACGGCGCTCCATTGCGGACGGCGCTGGACGCGCTTTTCCCCCGCGACCATAACCTCCCCGCCGCCCGCGACGCCCCCGACCACTTGCGTCCGAACGCACAGGCGACTGCTGGCGAGACGAGCCCAGCTGACGCTGGCGTTCAGGGGAACGGACCACGCGACGAGGAGAGTCGAGCCGTGGACGCTTCGAGGGACGTGGCGAACGCGGAGGCGATCGAGGACGGGACGACTGGCGTACGGGCGAACGGTGACGAGAATGAGGGCGAGCGGGCGAACGATGGCGGTGTGACCTGCGATCACGCGAACGACTCCGTGACGCCACGCGACGAGGCGAACGCGGCGACCGCGGGCCAGCGTGAAGACCTTCCCTGCGGCTCTCCCACCTATCGCCGCGAATCACAGATGAACGTCGGCGAGGGGAATGCTCCTGGTGCGCCACACCCACTCCGCCGTAGCGCTCGGCGGACGCCGCGTGAGCAGGCTCCGGCTGAGGCAGGGACCGGCCCCCGCGCGAGGTCAGAGCGCGCTGCTGATCTTCGAAACGACGGCGGATCCGATCCGCAGACGCCGGCGGCGCGACAGGCAGGCTCGCGGCAGGGCGCGCAGGAGGAAGCGGGCGGGGAGCTGGATCGCTCTCCGCGGTTCGCCCCAAGGCAGGAGCTTCAAGGGAACTCATCGGTACGTCGGGCGGACACTCAGCGGCCGACAAGTCGGCGGAAGAACAGTAGGCCGCGGAAGGAGAGCTGCGGGACGCGGGGGGAGAGCACGCGTGGGTGGACCGGAAAACGTGTACCAGCAGGCGGGGAGGCGGGCTTTAAACGAGATGAGCGGTGATAATGAAACCTCCACTTCAGACAGTAGCTTTGTAGCAGCCGAGTCCACTGACTCGACTTCCAGCTCTGAGTCCTTGGACGACGAGCAGCTTCAGACTCCTGCTCGAGCGGGCAGAGCAGCAGCAGCATCTCACATGGCGGGGGGAGCTGCAGCAGTGAGATCCATTAGGAGGGGTCCCCCAACACCAACCCGAGCCGCATCAGGCAACATTGTGACTGCACCAATCCCAACCACGAATTCCCACATTCAGACCCCTAGCCGGGCCGGACATCAATCTGCACCTGGCGGTAAACCCGTCCCAACCCAAGCCCCAGAGGAGAAATCCCCAGAATCACTCGCCAAGGAGGACACGCTATTCGCCAGCGTGTCAACCTGGGATCTGACGAAATTGCATGACTCTCGCCACGCACCTCTTTCCCGTCACCTCCCACCAGACCCACGCAAACTTTTCGCCACAGCTCTGTTGGTTCTGCTGCTGCGCTTGGCGAAATATCCAGACTCACCTTCTGCATGGACGGTCGTCCTGTTTCTTGCTCGATTAACACTTCGCCAGCTGTCACCTAGGCGTCCAGACTGGAAGGCTGTCAGTGCCCGCCTTCGTCAGTTTCTGTCTGGAGAATGGGACAAATTATACACTGAAACAGTGGGTTCACTGTCGTGGCCCCAACCACCCAGACACCAGCCCGATGACATTGGTGTCATCGCTAGGGCAGAGGGGTTGGCACGACGTGGCAGCCTACGACGCGCCGTGATGGCACTTGAAGCCACGCCAGTCAGCACCCCCTCTCCAACTGTGCTGGAGGCCCTGCGCGCCAAGCACCCACCTGCGCCCGCCTCCCCACCTGACTGGAACTTTCCAGAACCTGACCCTCACCTATCGGCACCGTTTGCTGTCTTCTCCAAGGTGCTGGGAAGCTGCGAGATGGGGGTGGGAGCGGGCCCCTCAGGAACAACTTTCGAACACTTACGCGATGCAGCGCTGATCAACCACTCCGTTGGGAAACACCTGCACGCGCTAGTCAACACGATATTAACAGGAAAATTACCTCCTGCGGTGGCTGAGCTCCTCACCGCCTCAAGATTGATTGCCCTGAGCAAGCCCGATGGGGGGACGCGACCAATTGCCATCGGCGAGAGCATAACACGCCTGGCAGCTAAGACGGCGCTTACTTTGACTGCAGGGGCCGCTCGTGTATTCTTCCTACCGCACCAGTTCGGCGTGGCAGTCCCTGGCGGGGCGGAGGCGATTATCCACATCACACGCACGTACCTCACGGTGAACACAGGAGCTTTGGTCCTACAGGCTGATCTGGCGAACGCATTTAACAGCGTTAACCGCGACGCCATCATCACATCTCTTCGGGACTCCTCTCTCGCTTCACTTTTACCGTTAGTTAAACTGCTGTACGGCCTTCCTTCGGCTCTATGTCTGGACGCTGGCTTCTCACACCCACCTCTGCTGAGCGAGACCGGGGTGCGGCAGGGAGATCCCCTCGGCCCGTTGCTGTTCGCTGCCGCCATACACCCAGCGCTGACGAAAACGGCGCTCAGCTTCCCCTCCGTGGTCTGTCTAGCCTATGCGGACGACGTAACTTTTCTTGGGGATGCAGCCATGTGCGCGGCGGCATTTGAGGACTTCACAGGAAACCTCGGGGAGATCGGGCTGCGCCACAACCCAGCCAAGTGCGCGGCCTGGTCTCAGGCTGGCCAGCAGGGAGCAGCGCTTCCAGTGGGCGTACCTTTCACAGAAGATGGGGTGAAGGTGCTTGGCAGCTTCATCGGTGGCAGCGACGCAACCGCCGCGTTCCTACGTGCCAGCCTCGACACCATGGGAGTGCCGCTGCCCTTAATCGCGCGGATGGAGCCGCAGCTGGCTTCCCTCCTGCTCTCACGGTGCATCTCACGGCGGATCGCTTACGTCGCCCGCACCACGCCGCTTTCGGCCCTGCCAGTCGAGGAGTGGTCAGACTGGGGTAAAAAGCTGTTTGAGACGTTGCTGACTGCCTGCGGCATTCGCCACCCACGGGGGGAGGCCGAGATTTCACGTACCTGGGCGCAAGCGTCACTCCCCATCTCGCTCGGTGGTTTGGGACTCACAGACCCTTCGGTGGAGGGTCGTGTTGGGTTCCTTGCAAGCTACACGCAAGCGCAGCACCTGCTCACCTCCATTGATGAGTCGGCCGTCGGCGCCTTGGCGGAAACGCGGATCCAGATGGTGGGGCCCTTCATCAACACGTCCCCGCTCTTTGACTGGTTGGAGAGGTGTGAGGAGTCACTGCCGGACGATGGGAAGGAGCTGCTGCAGAGCGATCGGGCTAATCCCAAGGGCGCCAAGCTGCAGCATGGGCTGGCAATCGCGGTACACGGACTGCGCTACGCGGAGCAGGTGCAGGCTACACGCATCATGCCACTCAACCCACTAAGCGGGCACACTCAGCGCATGCTTTCACTCTCAGGGTATGGGGCAGGAGACTGGCTCAACGCGGTCCCCTTCAACTCGACACTGCGGCTTGCCCCGGCTCACTTTGCGCATGCGCTGCAGTTCCGGATGGGGTTACCTTCCTCGGCACCTGGCGCGTGTGACTGCCGCAATAAGACGGCAATCCTTGACAGGCGCCTGTCCAACCACCTGCTGCGCTGCGACATGGGGAAGGGGCGGACCAACACGCACAATGAGTTGCGCGATGCGTGTGTACACATGGCCGCCGACGCTGACTTCATGACTCACAGCGAAACGACTACGTTCTGCCCCGTCACTCTGAAGAAAGCCGACATTGCGATCCGGGACAAGTCCTCAGGAGCGGTGTGGATAGGGGACGTGACCATCACGGACCCCATCAGCACACGGGATCCCAACGCGGTCAAGGGCAGGGGATGGGCGGCCAGGGAGGCGGCGGAGAAGAAGATCTCCGACTACGAGGGCTCAACGGCCTCGTGGGTCGGGTTCTTCCCCCTTGCCGTTGATACCTATGGCTGTCCTTGCGCGGAGGTCCCTCAATTCCTCAAACTTCTGGCCGACACCGGCGCGCGCCGGCTCTTCAACGCGGCCCCCTCATCTTACCAGGCAACAAAGCTGCTGCACCAGTTCCGCCAGCAGTGGTCCGTGGCGCTGCAGGGGGCGCAGTCAGTGAGCTTCATGACGAAGTGCAACTACGCGGCTCAGGTGGAGAACCCACCTGTGGCGCTGCCGGGCGAAGGAATGTCCCTCGGGGACTGCCTTGCCATCCTGGAGCCGGCATTGGAGCTGCCTTAGAAGGTGAAGGAGGGTAGGTAGGATGTGGGGGTTTTAGAAGCTGAGATGCATTGCTTCTTATATCCTTGTGCATGTCTGTACCTTGTTCGGATCTAATACACGGACCGCTTGAGAGAGAGAGAGAGAGAGAGAGAGAGAGAGAGAGAGAGAGAGAGAGAGAGAGAGAGAGAGAGAGAGAGAGAGAGAATTTGTTAAAATATGAGCACGATAAATGGATCTGTCTACATACAATTCCAACCCGTGCGACCTCTGTCGCGCGGGTGCTGATCGAGCATAGCAGCGACATGTTCGACTCAAACATTGTGTCAAGTAGGACAAATTCGGTTCGACGCAAACCAAATCAAAATGTTAAACTCGAACATTGGTACCGTGCGTGATTAGCATTTTGCCCAACCTCAGTGGCGATGGTTTGGGAGTGAGACATGGCATGGGAGGAAGGCATGGGTCGTCTATGGCTGCTTGGTTCCCAATGACTGGCACACTTACAGCCTTGTGAGAGCCGTGAGGGCGCTAATGGCGGGGGGGATGGCACCAGAGAGCTTGTTGTTGGAGAGTTGGCTGCGATGGAGACATGCGGGCCATGAGAGTTGCAGGGTCATCAGGGTATTGACAGGATACGTGGGAGGGTATGGTAAGGTAACAGCATAGGAGTGAGGCATGGCATGGGGGTGAGGCATGGCATGGGATCGAAACATGCCATCTGGTGCGACATGCGAGGGGAGAATCTGTTGTTCCGTCCTCCCTGGCTGCTTGGTCATCGACGGTTGCAATCACTCATGGTTGGAAGGGCAGCAGTAGTCCTGAAAAACGAGTGAAGTGAATTGACCGCCAATTTGCACGAACTCGATTGGCTAATAAAAACTCGATCGAAAGGAAGGCACGGGGCGGAAAGCCTATCAAGCCTTCACATTGTGCTTCTAGACAATCGAGATCTACTACATGGTGTGAGCTAGAACAAAACAAGCACCAGATTGCCTATCAACAAAACAAGCACACGCCACCACGCCCAAGGGTTACGTATTCAAGGTTAGAAACGCCAACCTTCAGAAGCATTCTCATATGGACTGTCATTAACTTGTGCGTGCTATGTGCACATCTCCGTGCAATAAAAATGTCCCCATATAGAAACCGAGAGCACTGAGACAATTCTGTAGCCGCGTCAACAGGACCCCTAGCCTGAGATAGACGTGACAGGTCGGCCCGTCCTGACCCAGCCCGAGTTTGCTCGACCCAAGGTGGGTACCTGTCAGGTTGGGATCCCCGGGCACCGACCCGTCGCGGTCAGCTGTAACCCGAGGACGGTTCGGGTCAACCCGATGGCGAATCGGGTCGACCGACCTGCCAATTGAACTTACCATCTGGCAGGTTGGTGGATTCACCCGTCTTTCCGCATAGTTTGGCAATTTTGCCCGTCAGCTTGCGCGGGTTGGCGATACTGACAGCCAATTTGCACACATCGGAGGGTTTTGGCCACCGAATCGGCGACTTTGACTGCCGATCCATGCAGATAGGCAAATTTCAACAAAAAAAAAACAAAAAAAAACCGTGTCACAGTTGTCCATACGTAGAATGTAGAACCAAGCGTACCCCAACACTTCACGTTTCTACCACATTGCACCATTCTACATCTCAAAACATAACCATCCAAATCCAATGTAAGGCAAGGCGAACTAGATGTAGCCATTTTGCACATCAGATATAGTCGATCGTTAACCCCCTTCCTTTCTCCTCCTCTCCCGTCATTTCTTCTCCCCTGCTCTACGTGCGAACGAATGAGTCGCCTGGCCTAAAATAGACACGAGCAACGGGTGAACACCAAACATGTTCGGTTCGCCCTGCACGAACATGTGAAGGGGGCAAACCGAACATGTTCGGTTTGCCCGAGCAGTTTTGGTGATTAGGGGTGTTCGAGGTTCGTGATAGGGGGCGAACATGTGCATGTTCGGGGCGAACCCGAACATGTTCGGGTTCGAGAGTGTGTTTTCAGTGGCCCAGCTCCTCCCCCGTCGCCTCTCCCCCCTCCCTTCCACCTCCAGAGCCGCGCGTCGCCATTTATGCCTCTAAAACCGTCTAGGATTGAAAATGATAGCTACCAAATCCGCGAACACCTAACATGTTCGGCCTAACATTTTTGGCAAAAAAAAAGACATGTTCGGTTCGTCTCGAACATGTTCGAGGCGAACCAAACAGGTGTTTGCTCTTGTTCTCATGTCTAGCCTAAAACATCATGTCAGGTCGTGACCCGAACTGAAATCAGGCCGGGTCGGCTAGTCCCGACGGGTTGAAATAACCGAAATCCAACCCCTACCACCAGGTTGGCTAATTCAGAAATGTGACCCGTACCGACCAAAAGCCCACGACGGGTTGGGTTGGGTCGACTTGACCCGTCAAGCCCTTATGCTCATGGCTAGCCTGAGACGAGGTGTCACCAGAGTGAACAGTGTCTACAAGACCAGGGGGGCGCGCTCAAGGGGAAAGAGAGCTGGTGTGCTTCGCAAGCTTCAGCTTGCTCCGAAAAAAGAGAGAGATTGGAGTTTGGGATTGGAGTTTGCCTGGAGAGAATGCTATGAAAGATGTGTAAGAGGAACTCAACGGGGTAAACTCTACCTCAAAGCCATTGAAAGAAAGGCACGCTTGGAAGCGAGAAAGGTTAACGCGAGAAAGGCTAACGCGAGAAAGGTTGACGCAAGAAAGGCTAACACGAGAAAGGCTAACGCGAGAAAGATAACGCGAGAAAGGTTAACGCGACAAAGGTTAGCGCGAGAAAGGTTAATCCGAGAAAGGTTAATGCGAGAAAGGATAACTCGAGAAAGGTTAACGCGAGAAAGGGTAACTCGAGAAAGGTTAATGTGAGAAAGGTTAAAATGAGAAAGGTTAACGTGAGAAAGGTTAATGCGAGAAAGTTTAACGCGAGAAAGGTTAACGCGAGAAAGGGTAACTCGAGAAAGGTTAATTTGAGAAAGGTTAAAATGAGAAAGGTTAACGTGAGAAAGGTTAATGCGAGAAAGTTTAACGCGAGAAAGGTTAACGCGAGAAAGGCTAACGCAAGACAGGTTAACGCGAGGAAGGTTAACGCGAGAAAGGTTAACGTGAGAAAGGTTAAAGTGAGAAAGGTCAACGTGAGAAAGGTTAACGCGAGAAAAGTTAACTGAGCATTTTTTTTAGGCGCCTTACAGAATCTACAAGGCTGCTCCAGTGCCAATGACTAGCAGACTTACAGGCTTTTAAGGGCTGTGAGGGCGCCTATGGCGGGGGAAATGGCACCAGACAGCTGGTTGTTGGAGAGATGGCTGCGATGGAGACATGCGAGACATGGGAGGTGGAGGGCCGTGCAGGCATTAACACGACATGTGGTGACGTGGGGAGGCATGATGACGGCATGGGAGTGAGACAAGGTATGGGAATGAAACATGCAAGGGAGGCATGGGAGTGAAATTAGGAGGTGGAGCGCTGAAGGCTGCTGGGTGGGCTGTGAAGGCACATGGACGAGCATGGTGAGAGCATGCAGAGGGATAGATAGAACCATGTCGTAACCATTCATGCCATGTGTCATGAGACATGGGACGCGATGGTGTGATGTCTGTGAGAAAGGTGAAGTGACACATGGGATCACGTGCAGTGCGGATGCATGCATCAGCACAACGAATGCATGTCTGATGTGAGGCGCGAATTCAATGACTTATAAGAATTCTCAAAAGGGTTAGATGAGGCGCTAAGGAATGGCACGCATAGGCCCGTAAGAGCGGTCATGTGCAAGATGGCATCTGGAATGGACTTGCTTAGCGCATTGGCCTGCAAATCACTGCCATTCAGATGGCAAGACATGGGGAGTGGGAGACAGGGAGAGACGGAAAGAGACAGAGAGGGAGAGCCTTTAGCTTGACCTCTACCCTCTCCTCCTTGTACTTAAGGCTCTGGTCCTCAGCCATAACTCATTATTCCTTATTGGTGTTCACTTCTTAAGTAGCCGAGTGGGAGAGTGAGAGAGAGAAACCTTAGCCTGGCCTCTGCCCTTCCCCCCCTGTACTTAAGGCTCTGGTGCTCCCAGACATAGCAGCAAGGACAGGCCGCTCTATGAACAAGGACGGAGGATGAGGATAAACACGAGTCAAATTGATAGGCATCGACAACAACATGACATCATTACCAACATACAATGGGGCTATAGTGTTGTCTACACTTTGCTACTGCCGCATAGCACCAAGTACACCAAATCCCACACACGCAACCATTCGTCTAGCACATATACAGCTAAATCCGCGTGCGCTCTCCTCCTCGCTTGCACGAGCACGTCCATTGACTCAATTTTGAGAGGCAGCAAGGTAAAACGTCAATTTGAGATGAGGGAAGAAGTCTAGTTTCAGAAGAATACCGATGCCGGGACTTGAACCCGGGTCTTTCGGATTATAACCCGATGACCAACCGACTAGACCACAACGGATGCTTCACAACTTTGTGGGGTTCTTTCTGGTGATTAGTTCGCGAAGACTGCACCCCAGCTTCTCGCCCCAACACCCGACCCCCAATCCCTCCAAGTGTCATTCCCAACCACAACCAAGGCAGAAATCAAACAAACCAATCCAGGTCCCCGAACTCAATCCAGCTCAGAAATGTACATCGCCCAACCAATCCAAGCCGCCCATCTAATCCACCTTGGCAAAATCCAGCTCAACCACCATATTGCCAACAATCCCGCAGCTCCCTCAACCACTCAGCACTCCACCCAGCACAAAGAGTTGGCTTCCTATTTTGTTATTCCAGAGTGGCTGTGACTGATCTAGTTTAGTCCTTACCTTAGCACGTTTTCCAATCTCGAGGTTTCAACCGCCGCCATAGCTGGTAGTTTCCACAATTTCCATACGTAATTTTCTGCAATTGCCACGAGCGTGCCTCGTTGGCTGTGTGTTTCTACTCTCATGCAGTCCGCCTACTTAGTGTAGGCGTTTTTTTTTTTTTTTTTTTTTTTTTTTTTTTTTTTTTTTTCGTTGGTTTCAGCTCCTTTAGATAGTTCGATTTGTTCATGCGCACGGTCAATATGAGGGCTTATACGCGTGCCTCTCCGTGGTACATATTTCTTGGCGTTTTAATTCCTCTTGATCAACATGTGCAGGTCGGAGCTTATGGTACCCTTGTATTTCACAAGTCGCGCGGTTGTCCGATTGAGGTCGCGACGGTTCCTATAATTGTTAGCCTGAATTGTTATCTAACTTTGTTGCTCTCGGTTTTGTTCGTTTTCGTGGCAGGCCCTTTTAATTCCATTGTTATTTCACTGCTCGGTTTTGAATACTACCATTTCCGGTGAGCATTATTGTTGTTGTCACTAATCGTTTGATATTCATGGCTAATTTTCAGGTTGAGATGCTTGGTGATCTGCAGACGGTTCTATCTTCGAAGACCATGCCCAAATCATGTATAAGACGCAAATCAGCCCCCCACTAGGCGAGGGAAGTCCAATATATTGATTTTTGCCATTGTGCTATGGATAAATTGTTATATATTGTTGGCAGTGTAATTAATGGAAAATCTGAATCCAATCAGGCAAGAAACCTTAATTGTTAAAATCAATACCGTCTGAGGAATGTCCAATTATAAGCCGTATGAAATCAACATATAAACTCTATGAAGAGTATAATGCAATGAGATATAATTTCCAAAATCACTTCGCGGAAACTCGTACCAAACTTCTGTCGAAGGTATTCAAGATGCAGCTTTGAACAGAGCGGCATTCGAGAAGCATTCGGTAAGCATTTGAGAAGCATTCGACGAAGCATTTGAAAAAATGCTTTTACTTTCACATAAAAGCGTTTGCAGCCCAACGTTTTTTTATCATTTGAAAAAACACCAAAGCAACTCTTTGCATCGGGTTTCTGGACGCTGGATTTTTGTGATGGTATTCAGAGCCAAATGGCTCACACCGTCCTCCTTCGATCCTTAGGCTATAATCTTCTTTCCGCTCCTCTACCCTAGCGGACTATGACCTATATCCGCCCTCCCACACCTCAGATCTAGCCTCCCGCAGCTCAGTTCCGCCCTCCCGCACCTCAGATCTAGCCTCCCGCGGCTCAGTTCCGCCCTCCCGCACCTCAGATCTAGCCTCTCGCGGCTTAGATCTACTCCTCCACGGCCTCAATCCGCCCTCCCGCACCTCAGATCTAGCCTTCCACGGCTCATATCTACTCCTCCGCGGCCTCAATCCTCCCTTCCGCGGCCTCAATCCTCCCTCCCGCGGCCTCAATCCTCCCTCCCGCGGCCTCAATCCTCCCTCCCGCGGCCTCAAACCGCTCTCCCGTGGCAGCAATCCCCCCTCCCGCTGCCACGCCGACGCGGACGACCTGCGCGCCGACGCGGACGACCTGCGCGCCGACGCGGACGACCGGCGCGCGGCCGCGAACGACCTGCGCGCCGACGCGGACGGCCAGCGCGGCGCCGTCAACGACCTGCGCGCCGACGCGGACGGTCAGCGCGGCGCCGTCCACGACCTGCGCGCCGACGCGGACGATCAGCGCGACGCCACGAACGCCCCGAGCTGACGCGGACGGCCAGCGCGGCGACGCGGCCAACCTGCGCGCCGACGCGGACGACCGGCGCGCGGCCACGAACGACCGGCGCGCCGACTCGGACGCCCAGCGCGCAACCGAGGACGACCTGCACGCCGACGCGGACGGCCAGCGCGCGGCCGCGGACGACTTGCGCGCCGACGCGGACGGCTGGCGCGGGGCCGAGGCTGACCTGCGTGCCGTCGCGGATGGCTCACCGCAGTCGCCACAACCTCCTCCTTCACCCGCGCCCTGCCCTACACTTTCGCGCCAGCCTCCCCCCCCCTACCTCCTCCCCCTACTCAACCCTTAATGGGACCAGCAGCGGCACCATCAACGGCACCAGCAGCGGCACCGTCAACGGCACCAGCAGCGGCACCATCAACGGCACCAGCAGCGGCACCGTCAACGGCACCAGCAGCGGCACCGTCAACGGCACCAGCAGCGGCACCGTCAACGGCACTAGCAGCGGCACCGTCAACGGTGTCAACGGGAGTTGTGGTTGGCCCCGTCCTCGCTTGGGCGGAGCCGACTTCGTGTTCGGGTGTGAGGAGTGCAGCCGAACTGCAGCAGTGGGCGAGCTGGTCGACGGGTCTGGTCGACCTGCACGATGGCCACTGCAAGGGCGCCTAGCTGGAGGGCGCCGAGCAGGAGGACGCCGTCATGGGCGTCTTGACGGTGTCCTGTGAGGCTGGACGCCGACCTGGGCGTCTGGACGGCGTCTTGTGAAGCTAGACGCCGACCTCGGCGCCTAGACGGCGTCCTGGGAGGCTGGACGCTGACCTAGGCGTCTGGACGGCGTCCAGGCGCCGACCTGGGCGCCTGGACGGCGTCCTGGGAGGCTGGACGCTGACCTAGGCGTCCGGACGTCGACCTGGGGGCTGGGACACCACTTCTGGGGACGCCGGTCTGGTTTAGCCGGCGTCCGACTGGGCTGGGCGTCCAGGCGTGGTTGCCCGGTCGACCGAGTTACCCGGGCGACGTGTGCGATGGTCGCCTGAGTGGTTGCTGCGAGGCCGACCTCAGAAGTGGTATCCCGAGGCCGACGTGGCTGGTAGGCGCAGTCGCTGGCGTGGACTCGACCTGGACGTCTGCGCTGTGCACGTGACAAGGAGTGGTGCACCAACCAGCTGCACGCACCTGCGAAGCAGGTGCACCGTTGTCCTGCGGGTGCAACGCTGTGCAGCCGACTTGCTGCAGCGTTGGCACACCGTGGAATTGCAACGTTGGCAAACCGCTACTCTGCAACGCTGGAGCGGTGCGAGCTCTGCTGCGCTGGATCGCGGTCGACCATGCTGCGCTGGAGGTCGACCAGCAGCCTAGCTAGCTCTGATGTAGTCTGTGTTGCAAAAGTTGTATCAACCATTGTTCTCAACTTTTTGCCTCGTGAATGCACAAGTGCTGGAGAACGACTAAGTGAACGAACGCAGAGATCCCTCCTACCCCGTGCCTAGCCCGTAGTCTAGCTCTCGTTGATAGAGTTATCTCCGCATGGTGCGGTGAGCGTGGACGCCACACGACTTACCCCTTCAGTCAGGTCGACGTAGCGGTCACTTACCTAATTCGTGTTAGTAGGCCGACAGCTGTGCAGTTGTCACTATGGTAGGCGCCGTAGGTGACGCAGGAGTGGTGGACACTCTGGAGGCACGGCTCGAGAGCGCGAGGAGACGTCAAGAGGCTGCCGAGTACGGCGACCTCCCCTAGGCGACCAGGTCGGCAGCAGTGCGGGAGGGAGGCACGTCGTCGAGGCAGAGAGGAGTGATACACGCCGGTGAAGTCGGCGGCATTCAGGCGCCAGGGATGCAGTCGTCCGCGGCTGCAGGCACCTCGCAGGGCGACGTCGGTGGACGTCGGAGCGGAATGACGCCGATGTCGACGACCCACGTGACTGCGGGCGGGATAGCGCCAAGCTACGGCTACTTCAAATTCACGCCGGACAAGATCTCGGTCACCCCCCTGCTGGTCGGTCGACCTGACATTCTCACATGGAAGGAAGCCATCGGGCCTCAGCTGGAGATGGCCGGGCTGATAGGCTTCGCCCGTGGCACCATGGCGACACCGTCGGAGCTCTACCCTAACCTGCGTGCGGAGTTTCGCGTTGTGCAGCTGCTGACGTTCACGGTCATCTCGTGGTGCTGCTCGCCGGGCGTGAAGATCGCCTTGAAGCCGTGCAGGGACTACCTGGACGCCGGGCACCAGGCGTGGCACTTCATCAAGTCGACATACCAGGTCACCGACGACCTGTACATCGGCCAGCTCGAGGAGCAGATGACGCATCTGCGGATGGGCGACCAGGAGACAGCGACTGACTACTGCAACCGGGCGCGGCGACTTCTCGTCACGATGAGGATGTCCGGCGTGCAGTACTCCACGGCGTCGTATGTCACCCATGTCCTGAACGGGCTCCCGAGCAACTACAACCTGAAAAAGCGGCTGTCGGTGGTGCCGAGCACGCGGGCGACGCTCAACTAGGACTCCTTGACCTCGTACATCCTGCGGGACGAGGCGATGCAGGAGGCCGAGCAGTCCTTGGAGCTCCTGCCGCAGGCGAACTACGTCGCCCCGGCGAAGCAGGGAGGCCGACCGGGGCAGCGCGGGCAGTCTAGCGGCAGTGGGAGCAGTGGCGGGAGGCCGGCGAAGGACGCCGACAAGAAGAAGTCGGCTAAGGAGAGCGGTCGTGGAGGAGGAGGTCGACGTCGAGAGTGCTGGTTGTGCGGCGACCCCGACCATCTCTCCTTCGAGTGCCCCGACCGTAGTAGCTCGGACGACGACGACGCCAAGGGTGGCCGAGGGAGGTCGGCTGGGCGTCGCCCTCGCCGGGAGAGTAAGCCGCGCAAGGAGAAGCAGTCGACGAAGTCGACCTCGGCGAAGGACGCCGACTCCTCTGCTGGCAGCAAGGGGCGAGACGACAAGGAGGCGTCGTGCTCACTGGTCGGCGTCGTGGAGCCGACCGTCTCGTTGGCGCCGGAGGCTGGCGAGGACTTCCAGGCGATGGCGGCGGCCGTGCAGGCGAACCTGGCGGTGGTCCTGCTGGACAGCGGCTGCTTGCATCACCTGATGAGGACGAAGGAGGTCTTTGTCGACCTGCAGCCGAGCGGCGACGTCAAGCACGTGCGCGGCTTCAACGGTGCGCTGCAGGACGTCCAGGGCCGGGGCATGGTCGCCTTGCAAGGGGAGGCCGGGAAGCAGGTGCTGATCCATGACGTGCTTTACGTACCAGGAGTGCACGCGAACCTGCTGTCAGTTGGCCAGCTGAAGGAGAACGGTGTGAAGCTGAAGGAGGACAGCGACGGGATGTTGCTCGTCACGGCGGCAGGGGACGTCCTTGGTCGGGCGTCCTACACCGGCCGTGTCCTCTGCACCGACCTGCGTCCCTGCTCGGCGAAGTCGACAACGCCCACGACGGAGGTGGTGGCCCTGCGGGCGATTGTCACGGCGACGAAGTCGACGTCGGACCGGCTGCATGCGAGGCTCGCGCACGTCGGCATGGAAACTATTCGGAGCTCGGCGAAGCACGAGGTCGCCACTGGGCTGGACCTCAAGTCGGCGTCCGGCGCCGACTCACCGTGCGTCTCGTGCGTCGGCGGGAAGCTGGCGCGGCACACCTTCCCCGACAAGGGCTCGGACGCTGACGACGTGCTGGCCGTCGTGCACATCGACCTGTGCGGGCCGTTTTGCGTGGCTGCTAAGGATGGCAGCCTGTACTTCTTGCTGCTGAAGGACCGCAAGACTCGCTACGTGTGGGTGAGGCCGGTCGCCAAGAAGTCGGACAAGTTGCAGGAATTCGTGCAGTGGCTGGCGGTGGCTGAGTTGCAGACGAAGAAGTCGGTGCTGATGCTGCGCTCTGACCGGGGAGGGGAGTTCCTCGGGAAGGAGTTCACCACCTTCGTGGACGGCAAGGGGATCGTCTACGACCTGACCTGCCCTTACACCCCGCAGCAGAACGGCATGGCAGAGCGGGAGATGAGGACTGTGGTGGAGTCGGTGCGGACGATGCTGCTGCACATGGACGTGCAGCACCACTGGTGGCATCTTGCTCTGCGGCAGGCCGTCTGGGTCCGCAACTGCCTTGAGAGGTCGGCGCTGCCGCCGGGGACGACGCCGTACCAGCTGCTCACTGGGATGAAGCTCGACTTGTCGCTCGCGCGCGTGTGGGGCTGCATGGCACAGTTCCTGGTCCCCGAGCAGCAGCGCGGTGGGAAGCTGAAGCCGAAGGCCAGGTGGGGTATTCATCTCGGCGTGTCGGAGGAGAGCAAGGGCTGGGAGCTCCTTGACATCGCCAACAACCGGGTTGTCACCACGTCGGACGTGGTGTTCTACGAGACCGTGTCGCTGGAGGTGTGGAAGTCAGAGCATGGGCCGGCGTCGGGGCGGACGCCGGTCAACCCGCCGACGGACACCTCGACAGCGACGCTCCCTCTGCTCGCCGAGGTCGGTGAGCTCGCTGATGAGGACGCCGATGTCGTCCGCCCTCTTTCCCCTTCCCCTGCCCCTCCTGCCCCTCCCTTTGACGCCGAAATGCGTGGGCTGACACCGGTGTCGGCCCCAGGCGATGAGGGGAGCAGTGGGGCGTCGCCTGTGGCGCCGACCAAGAGCATCGCCGGCGGCCGACGTGACGCCAAGCAAGTCGGCGTGGGAGTCAAGTCGACGCCGACAAGAGAGCAGCGGGCAGAGGAGGTGCAGCCGACCCTGGTGAAGCCGGCGAAGGAGACACCAGCAACACAGCAGCCGACAGGGGAGCAGGCAGCAGCGACGCCGACCAAGGAGCAGTCGGCGATCGGGCAGTCGGCAGGGGAGCCGACCGCAGGGGAGAAGTCGGCTGGGACGCCGACTGAGGTGCAGCAGGACGCTGAGGACAGCGACGCCGGTGACGATGGAGGGGACGCTGAGGAGGCCCAGCCTGGACCACGGCGTACAGGCCGACTTCCGAGGCCACCCGACTTCTACGTACCGGCTGCCTTCACCACGGCGTACGACGAGGTCGACGACGACTTGCTGTACGACGACGCCGAGGAGGATGAGGAACTACCAGAGCTCGACCCCGACACGCACGTCGACCCCACGGTAAAGGAGGCGTTGGCAAGCTTGTAGGGAAAGGCGGTGAAAGTTGCCATGGAGGAGGAAATCCGCAGCCTCATCGGCATGGGAACCTGGGAGCTGGTCGAACGCCCACCTGGGGTGAACATCATGAAGAACCGGTGGGTGTTGACGACGAAGTACCGCATCGACGACACTGTCGAGCGCGAGAAGGCGAGGCTGGTCGTGTATGGCGCCGACTACGACGAGACGTACGCGCCGGTGAGCAGCTACGTCACGCTGAGGATCTTCCTCAGCATCGTCGCCGTCCTCGACCTCAACCTGATGCAGCTCGACATGAAAAACGCTTTCCTGCAGAGTAAGCTCGACCGGGTGCTGTACATGTCCCAGCCGGACTACTTCAACGACGGGACCGGCCGGGTGCGCAAGCTGCTGAAGAGCCTCTACGGGCTGAAGCAGTCGTCGCTGCTGTGGTACAGGACTCTCGATGGTGTGTTGCTGGGCGCTGGCTGGAAGAAGAGCCAGGTCGACACGGCGCTCTACTTCAAGGTCGATGGGGATGGCGTGGCCTGCTGGGTGCTGGTCTACGTCGACGACCTGCTCGCCGCCAGCAGCTGTGCAGCGATGTTGACAGAGCTGAAGGAGCTGCTGGAGGCCGCCTTCGAGCTGCGGAAGATCTCGCCGGTGCAGAAGTACCTTGGGCTGGACATCGTGCGCGACAGGCCGGCAAGGAAGCTGTGGCTCCATTAGCAGGGCTACGCCGACAAGCTGCGTAGGCGATTCCTCGACGAGGAGCAGACCAGGCGTACTCCGAAGACGCCGGTCTTGGTCGACGCCTACGCCGAGCTCACTTTCGATGACGAGGAGGCGCAGGAGCGCCAGGAGGAGGAGTACCGGCAGAAAGTCGGCTCACTGCAGTTCGCAGCGACAACGACGAGGCTGGACATCGCCTTCGCCTGCAGCAAGCTGGAGAGCGGCCTCACGGTGAGGAGCGACCAGCACTGGCGCGAGGTCGACTGCTGCCTCGCCTACCTCGCCAACACGCGTGACACCGCCCTTGAGTTCGGCGGTGGAACTGAGTCGCTGCAGCTGGTCGGCTACGTGGACGCCGACGACGCTGGCGACAAGCAGAACCGGACGAGCACGGGTGGCTACGTGTTCGTCTACGGAGGGGCTGCGGTCTCCTGGTCGAGCCAGCGCATCAAGTGCGCGACGTTGTCATCGACCGAGTCAGAGTACGTTGCGGCCACGGAAGCCGGCAAGGAGGGACGCCGCCTTCGCTTCCTCCTTGCAGAGTTCCGGCAGCTGGACGCCGGGAAGCCGACTGTCCTTCGGGTGGAAAACAAGTCGGCTATCATAGTCGCCGAGGGCATGGGGTTAATGGGCAACCTCAAGCACATGGAGCGGCGACAAGCCTGGCTGCAGCACATGGTGAAGCGCGGGAAATTCACGCTGAAGTACATCCCGACCACTGAGCAGCCGGCCGACTTCCTCACGAAGGCGCTGCACTACCCGGCCTTCAACCGGTGCTCCGTCGCAATCGGCCTGCATGCTTACACTTGCTAGGTTGTGATCACTGTACCTCTTGTTATATTATCAAACTGCATGTGAACTGGTCTTGTGACCATGTGCTTGTGCTCGGAATTTGTGTGGTATCCTTGAGATCCACCCTGAGCTTGTTTTGCTTTGCTTTGACTGGTCCTGTGACCCCTTGTTCTCCCCCTTTTAGCCTATGGGGGTGTGTCAAACATTGTATGTGTTATATTTGTGTAGGCTATTGTGGGTTAGCCTCTAGGGGGTACAGAACTTTAGGTTTGTCATACTTGTACTCTCATTCTGTTGCTAGTCAATCATTCTCGTTCTCTCTAACGTTCTAACAACATCAACTGCGAGGGGAGCTTCGGGACGTAGGAGGCGATGAAGGGCCAAGAGGAGCTGCGAGAGGGGAAGGGGGACCGAAAGTGGTGGCGGTAGCATGGCTAGAAGTTTTCGACCTAGCTGACCTTGCGTGCCGAAAGCTGTCCCAACCGGTTCAACCCACCTCGGGCGAGCGGAACTGGGCAGCTTGGGATTGTGTGCACTCGGTGCAGGAACAAGCTTAGGTCGGAGAAAGTTCGGTCGTAACCACAAAATCCACACCCTCCAGATAACAACGCCATGTGCGTAGCGCATGAACGACCGCCAACAACTCCTGTTCGGACGTCGTATAGCGCTGCTCTGCCGGGGAGAGCTTTCGACTCTCAAATGCCACTGGTCTCTCCTCTTGCAAGAGGACAGCCCCAATCCCTATCAATGAGGCGTCAGTAACAACCTCATAGGGTTTCGTCGGATCTGGTAAAACCAGTACCGGAGCGTTGGTCAGCATTCGCTTGACCTCGTCGAATGCCTTTTGGCATTGCTGTGTCCATTGCCAAGCGCTACTCTTGCGAGTGAGGGCCGTCAATGGAGCAACAATGGTAGAATAATTATGCAAGAATCGACGAAAATAGTTCGCCGGTTCCAAAAACGACCTGATTTGACCCACATCTTGTGGCACCGGCCAGTTCTGGACTGCGACAACTTTCTTTGGGTCTACTTTGAGACCATCATTTCCCACGAGATGGCCAAGATACTCCAACTCGCGTTTGTAGAAATGATATTTCCATAGACAAGCATAGAACTTATGCTCTCGGAGTTTCCCTAACACCCACTTAAGGTGTCGCGTGTGCTCCTCTTCCGTCTTGGAATAACCCAAGATGTCATCCAGATAGACTAGAACGAACTGTCCAATCGCCTCGCGAAAGACCTCATTCATAGCTCTCTGAAAAGAGGCAGGAGCATAGGTCAAGCCAAAGCTCAGCACTCGCCACTGAAAATGACCAAACGGCGATCGGAAAGTTGTCTTAGGTACATCTTCTTCAGTGATGCGCAGTTGGTGATACCCCTGCACGAGGTCCAATGCGCTGAACCACTGGGCACCCTGGAGTTTGTCGAACATGTCCTCTATTCTCGGTAGGGGATACCTGTTCTTCACCGTTATCTTGTTCAGAGCACGGTAGTCTACGCACATGCGTAACCCTTCGCCCTTTTTGTTAACGAACAAGATCGGCGCTCCGTAAGGTGATGCGCTTGGTTCAATCCATCCCTTCCTGAGATATTCCTCAATCTGTTCTTTAGCCTCCACGTACTCAGCTTGACTGAGGCGATACAGAGGTCTAAAAGGTGGGAGTTTTCCAGGCTCCACTGGGATGGTGTGACCGACAGCACGGTCCGGAGGAAGGCCATCTGGGATGGGCTCAAAAACCTCCGCAAACTCGTTTGCCAGTGCTTTCATCTGAGGCGGAAAATCCTCGACCCAAGGCATCTCATGTTCAGCATTTTCGAACTGTACCACAAAGAAGGTATCGGCTTGTCGAACATGCTGTCTGAACTCGTTTGCGAGCACAAAACTCACATCGAGACGCTCCGACGTGTGTTGCTCATTCGTGATCAAGTCCTTAGGCACTTGCCATTGGACGGTGTGACCATTCTTTGAGAATGAGACCGTATTGTCCTGGAAATCGAGCTTGACTTCATTCGCTCGAAGCCAATCCATTCCAAGGACAAGATCGACGCCTGCGAGAAGGGGTAAAACATACGCGCAGATCTCTTCGCGATAACCCTCAATCTCCATGTTGATCCGTGTCAGCCCTTTGCTTGGGATGATGCTATCATCACCAAGGCGAATGGGGCAAGACGGTCCTTCAACGAGGATCATGCGTGCTGTGACCCACTTTTCGTCAAAGAGGGAAACAGTTGCACCCGTGTCAACAAGGATTTTTGCGTTTTCCCCGTTCACGCTACCCGCAAGCAACAAATATTGTTGATGCTTTGGGCGAATAGGACATGCCACAATATTTGTCGAAGGTTTGAAATACACCTTGACGTTGTGACGAGCACGTCTATGTAACTTAGAGTTGGTCCACCACACATGGTGTCCCTTGTCCCATGCCGCCAGGACCGGCCATCCACGAAGCGCATGGAACAATTCGCCTTTCACTGTGTGAGTCACCAACGCGACCGAAGTCAGGGGGTGCTCTTGTGTGCAACGACTCACAATCTCAATGACAGAAGGCAGAATGTCCAAGCCACATAAAATAATTGAAATCGTATCCTGCATTGCTTCCATGGGAAATGTTCTCAAGTGGGTACGATCGAGGATAAAAAACATAGTTTTTATTAAAAGAAGAGGCAAACAACAAGCTTCTCTAGCTTTAATATATCATCATCACATAGCACATATGCCTCATCCACTCGATCTACTCCTCCAACTAGGTACCCACACCCTGGGTTTCTGAAGATCCTTCTTTCTAGAAGGTCCAACGCCACCTGGCTTAGGCTTCCCAGAATACTTGATAGCGTTCTTGTCACGGCACTGCCTTTCAATGTGCCCCATCCTTCCACAGCCTCTGCACTGCTTGTCGGAGAAGTCCGGTTTGTTAGGGCCATAACCTCCCCCTTCGTTAGGCCTCTTGGCATGTGGCTCCGACTGGTGCCCACGTTGCTAGAAAGGCCTTTTGTTCCAACCGCTTCCACTCTTCGCATTCTGGGGCCGGTTCCCATGACCACCAGAGCCTTCAGCACGGGGCTGCTGGCCTGGCTTTTCGGGATTAAAAATGTACGTGCAAATGATGTTGTCAGTTTTGATCACCTGCTCCTTCATCTCCTTGTAAGTCGCCCAATTGGTCATGCCACCGGTCATGTGTGCCTGCTGCAGCTTGACAGGGAGGCCTTTCATGAAGACGTGCATCATCTCCTCCTCAGACAAGGGCTTCTGGAGCAAGCGTGCTGCGGCCTCAAACTCGACCGCATATTCCTGCACCGAACGGTCACGACACTTGATACTCTCAAGGCGTCTGCGCAGTTCCAGGTCGGACTTCTTGACCATGAATGCCTCTTTCAGCGCGGTGCAGAACTCCGGCCATTCAAACGGTCCCTGCGCCTGCTTCTTAGCGCCATACACTGCCCTGCGGGCCACCTCGTTCAATGCACGAGTGGCTGCAGTAACGCGAGCCTCAGGACGCACATTCGCAAGGGTCATGGTGTCATTCACCAGGTCAATCCAAGGCTGCACCTCCGTCTTGCTATGGTTGAACTCGGGCAGAGGCGCCGAGAGAGACCCAAAGGGCGAGGTCTCGGTTGGAGGTGGCTGATGCATAGCCGTTGCAGCGCCTACCGGCGGAGGTGCGGGCGGAGCGGGTGCCGGCTGAGCAGCAGGAGCGGGCCTACGCCCAGGAGGAGGCTGGTAAATGCCCTCCCTCCTAAGCTCCCTCAACTACTCATGGAGCTTGTTGAGTGACGCTTGCATATTGTTGCAATTATCCTGAAGCTCCTCAATTTGGCGATTTTTAGTGCCCTGGTTGCGACGGAATTGGCAAGCCTCTTTCGTGACAACGCCCAACTCAGCCTTAAGCTTGTTAGTCAGCTTTGTGAGTTCATTAATGGACTTCTGCTGCTGCAGGATGGTGATATTCTGAGTTGACAGTTTAGCCTGGAGTTTGACAATCTCCTCTGAGATAGGATAACTCATGCCTTCACCCTCAATGAAGTCATTTTCATCACCACTGTTCTCCTTTTCACCGGTGTTGTCCTCCTTCCCATTGTTATCAGCTTCACCATGGTTATCAGCTTCACCATGTTTATTAGCTTCAACATGGGTATCAGGCTCAACATAGTTATCCTCATCCTCCATGTCCAGGTTCTCAATGTCATCCAGCTCAATGTCAGCCATTGCCTCATCTTGCTTGAGGTCAATCTCAGCAGCATTGTTCACCACCTCATTAGGTGCAATGGGCCCTTCCTCCCTTGCCATGTCCTTCTCTTGGCCAGATGCCATAAGGATTAAGGGAGCCTTAGAGATCTGGGTTGATTCTGTGAAAATCCTTTTACCACCTCAATAGTAAAGCAAGAAATTCTTATAAAAGTTATTTCTTCTACATAATAACTCAAGGTTACCAAATGTAACAGATTTGTTGCCAACACTCCCAATCACCTAAATGAAAGGGCAGGGTCTATCCAAATCTCAACAGAGAGAACTTGAATAACCCTCAACAAATCCTCCAGATCTTAGTTTATACTCCACTACTCAACAGTAGAGAGTCTTCCACCAAAAGGTAGGCAAGAGAGATAAATCTCTCTTCTTAGCTTGAAGTTGCAGTTGTAGATCTTGTAGATCTTGAACTCTTCAAGCTTCTTGATCTTGAGTGTTCTCTGAAAGAGAAACCACAACTCCAAGATCTATAAATAAATAAATAAATCTAGGAGCAAAATCCCCACTAGGCTTAGGATAACCCTAGCTCTATATACCAATGTAACAACCACGGCCCTTATAACAACGGGCAACCATGTGTTAAATATAAATCCTCCTTGACAATTTATATAAAATCAAGATACAAGGCTTCCAATATTAAACTAATCTCACCAAGGGATATTCTAGCCTTGAAATATTATTAAGGAGCTTGCGAGGAGAACTTGAGATGGTTGTTGATGAAGCTTGAGTAAGTGAGTAGCTTCTTGTAGAGCTTATCCTTGAAGTAACACAACTTTACTTGTGTAGGAGAGCTTGTTAGAGAGAAAATCAAGACTTAGGGAAATCCCATTTCCAAGTTGGTAAGTTGGAGTTGGGAAGAGGGAATGAGCCTCCAAGCTTCAACCCCTTCCACAATACCCCTTGGGGCTCTTCCCAAACACGGATTCCATGGTTGGGGAGCTTCTAGGCTTGGAGCCTATGTTGCTAGGTTCTTTGTATGGATTGTAACAATATTTGGCACAATGTGATTGGTTGGAAATCCAACCTTTCCAATCTCACTTTGATGGGTTGGAAATTTCCAAGCCTCAAGGTTGAGGGTTGGAAATCCCAAGCCAATCTTCCTCTCCAACTCAACCTTCCCGATTGCCTTCACGTCATTTCTCATCGAGCACTCTCTCGATGTTGACTTAGGAAATCCGCAGTAGTTAGGTAGAGTAGGCGTTACATCGTTTGTCGGAAAAGGAAGGTGAAGGCGAAATGGCGTGGTGACTGGTGCTTGGAGGGCTTGGAATGGAAACGCCGGCCAGACCCAAACACAACACGGAAGGAACGCATGAAGCACCTCTCAGCGAGGAATCAGGGGAAAATGTGAATGGTAACCATAATGGGCCGCGTCTGGTAACCATTACAAAGGTTGGTAACTAAAAACTGGCACACTATCAACCTAGGGCCCAGAATATCAGGGTAAAATACCATTTTTGCCCTGATGGGGGACTGCTTTTTCGCAGTTACCCTTGCAAAATCAGTAGAACAATGTTTTTACCCTAGACCAAAAATTATAACTTCTGTTTTACCCTGATACCGATTTCTGTTACCCTGCGTGAGGCTCGCTGAGCACAATACTGATACCGAAACTTTCTTACCGAGGATCAGGTCACACAGAACGTCCTGACAAAATGTGACGTGGTCCCACCGCCTCCCTTGTCGCCCACAGATGCAAAACCGAAAAACCTTATCGGTGGGCCGCCTCTTCATCCTATTGGTTGTTTGAGCCACACTTGAGCCAACGCACCCCGGAATCCTGCCAAACACGCAATTCCCACTGCCAACTGAGTCAAGTAGCGCACCAACTGTGCTCCGTGCTGTCCTACGCATCACATGTCAGTCGTTGTTGTGCTGATGCATTTCCCGCACTGTGCGGGCATCACTCCGTAGGTGGCTTGGTTACATGTGAATTTGGAGCGTGTTCCTACGGCCTCATATCAGGCAACCTCGTATCAGATTCGCGTCGAACCGCACTAAAACGCATCCAACCGCAGTCGAACACACTCAAACGTATTTCACCATGCGAAGCTGATATGAGGTGTGTCTGATACGAGGTGTAGGAACACGCTTTTAATGACTTGGCACAAACTGCATAGTAAACAGCCTAATTGCAAAGTTACACTGACAAAATCAGTGTATGGAAGATTTTAGGTTGTTTCCAGTAGGGTATGAATTATTTTACCCTAAGGGTCAGGGTACAGCAGGCCCGAAACCCTGATTTGACAGGGTGGGCCAAAACCAGTTTTGGGCCCTGACTGACCCGAATGGTACCGTATTTACCCGGGTAATGGACCCCCCAAAATTATAGACCCCCGGGTAATGCTAAGCTACCGTACTTGATTCTTGGTGCTGAGTTGCCTACTCCATGGTTAGCGTGCAATGAAGCCTACACAATACACAGAGCACTACTCTCCATCACCGAAAGGATCATATGCAGCTGCATCATCATTCTCATCTTCACCAGCAAACCAATATTCCACCCCCTCGTCAATGTCCTCCTCCTCTGCAAGCCCACCTTCCAGCACCTCCTCGGCCTCCGTTGTCGCCTCAGTGTGGGGGGGAGGACGAGACATGGTGTCGTTCTCCCCAGCCAAGCCGGTAGGGTCCACCTCATCAGAAATCTCTACCTCGCTGCCTTCAGTCAGGTGGCGAAGGCAGAGGTGGTCCTCTGACCCATCCAAGGCATTCGAGAGCCCGCATGTCTTAAAGGATTGGGCAACGAGGGCTTCGGGAATGGATTCCCACGCCTTTGCCACCCAGAGAAGGACCTGTTCGGCAGGAGGCTTCTTCAGGTTGCCTGCCATACACGAAGGAAATGAATGAGTGTGTTGTTGGGATACACGACAGAGAACAAATGGAAAGCACAACTTACCGGCTTTTGTAAGGTTGTTGATGCCCTCTGCCGCGAACCAATCTTGGTAGAGCTTGCATACTGCACACTTGAACGACTTGTTAATGGACACATCAAGCGGCTAAACCAAAGATGTGCAGCCGCCAGGGATGACAGCTGGGATAAGCTTGAAAAATGACATCGTCTGCTTGACGCCTTGCGTCAAGTGACCCTTGTACGAGTCAAGCACAAGCAGGCATGGCTCGCGCGGTTGACCAATGCTCGGCATCATGAAGGGAGCGACCACTTTGGTGGTCCAGTCCTTCGCTAGAGACTCATCCATCCAGCCTTTGCGTTGTGCACGGACAAGGATCCCTGCACACACACATTCGTACACACCAGTGAGGAACTTTCAATGTGGCAAATGAACAAAGACCAAAGCAATGCCTCTTCCTACCAGGGGGGATTTTGATCTTGGGGACGGTTGCCCTTTTGAAAACAATGTATGGCGGCATCTTGACACCCGCGGCTATGCAGGCTAGCATAACGGTAACACGCTCTTTTTCATATCCGGCAGTCCGCACATGCACGGTACGGGCGCCAGAATGCTCGATTGTCCCTCGCTCGGCATTTCAATGAAAAGCGGTGTTTGGTCCGCATTCACAATGTGCTGATCCTTGATCTTGTGCTTCAGCCGCATCTATTTCACAAAGCGCCAAAGCCCCTCGACCTTTTCCTTGCAATCTGCGCAACGATGGGAGGAATGAGGGACAGCTCATGAACATCTGACGGGATGAAGACAACAACCTTCGATTTTCAGGACAAACCCTTACCTGCGGCAAGCTTTTGCCCGATTTTAGTCTTCACTCGAAGAACAAGACCCCAACGGAGTCGGAACCTTGTTGCCCAGTGTAGTGAAGCGCGCCAGCCCGATTGAGGGTGGTGCCTCTTCATGAAACTCGCGCTCCATGCGCGTAGCATCGCAATGGTCACGGGTAATCCCTTCGAACGACGCACAAGGAACGTACGATACACGGAGACCTCCATTTCAGGGTACAGGGACCTCTTACCAGCGCCATGCAAGCGCTTACGACAGCTGTAGGCGACTTTGTATCGCGGATGGTTGCACGCCGGCACGTCGGGCCGTCTCGCGAACCGTTAGCAGCTCCTTCCGCATCGTCTCCAACCAAGCAAGCTTGTCGGAGACGGTCCGGTCGCGACGAACAGCTTTGGTTTGCACCCCGCATGCTTCTGGAGCCAATGCGTCACGGTCCAAGACAGGTTGCCTCGTGTTCGCTGGTGTCGGGAAAACGGGGACAGAAACTTCCGGCAAATTGTCATCCGCCACGGTCCCCCCACCAGCATCAGCATTGCTAGGACGGGATGCAGTATTGCTAGGAGATGCGTCTGAATTCTGAGCTACAGGTGCAGTGGGAGCTTGCTGTACATTGGCAGTCACGCTGCCTACATAGTTGAATTGGACCCCACGAGAAAAAAGAATGACAATGACCGTAGGAAGGGCCATAGCTGCTGTGTTCTACACACACCAGTGTGGAGCGCCATGCTTTCTATAACATTAATCAGTCGAAAGCCGGGTCGTAGGGAAGGTGTCGTCAACATTCCCTTCGTGCTCTGTTTGGACGCCGTGGTGGTGGTGAAATCGTTTTCGTGCGTGGTGAGGTGAGGAGGAGAACCGCACGAACGCGAATTCCCAGTCAGAACATTTTGCAATGTTCTGACTGCGGGCCGCGATTGTGTTTTGCGTGCTACTGCTAGGCAGGGGCGGCAGTGAACGTGCTTTGGTGGGTTGGAATGTTTGCCAGGTGGCAGTTCCTTGACCCTGCACAGCATCGTAGTGCTTTATCAACTCGTACGTGCGATTTCGAACTTTGTTGAAGTAGAGGGTCTGGTTGTAACACTTGGACGATGAAAAGAAATAAATAAATAAATAAATGCAGGATTAGACCCAGGGTCTATTAAATTTACACCCACTTAATAGACCCACCCCCCCTTTTTCCCGAGGTAGGAGTAGACCCCCGAGTCGTTTACCCGGGTAAATACGGTAACTATAAAAAATAAACAAATCCAAACCCATATATGAACTGACGAGCCACGCACGCTGCTCAACTGGACCAGAACCGAGTGCATTGTACATCGCCTACACACTAAGGGCATGTTCCTACAGCCCCTTATCAGGCCAACCTCTTATCAAGCTCGCGTCACAACACACTGAAATTCCCCTAAACCCAAAACCCTTCGCGCATTTTACCAGGCAAGCCTGACAAGAGGTTTGCCTGGTAAGAGCGTAGGAACATGCCCTAAGGGCGTGTAAGACCCCCAACCATCACAATTCAGCCAAATGGCCGTTGCAAAAATAACCAGATTGCGAGCGTCGCCGACGTGTCTGCGAAGCTCGCAAGTATCGGCCAACTAGTTGTCATAATCTCGTCTTAACTTAGTAGGATTACGTTAGGAGAGTAGGCTAGGAGATCCATGGCGAGAGGAAAGTTGGTGAGGGAAAATGAATGAAGGAGGGTATTAGAATTACTGAAGGGTCTTTGTCAGACAGGATAAGTCTGCTAGGAAGGAATAGTCAATACAGCTGAAGTTTGATGACCTTGATTATAATTAATGTACATGACAAGATGATAATTATAAAACATTACAATGGAATGTTTAGTTCCCAGCTAGCCATGTACTCTGAGGCTAACATTCCCTTATTCAACTATTTTACAGACATCGCTACAACAGCTGTGACTATTGCGATTCCTACGGTTACCTCATTGCAGTTCGTAACCTCTGAGACAGTTGCGATCCGCG